TAATTCGAGTAAAATTATATATTTGCCTTCTGGATCCAAATCTTTGAATTCTAAATAGTTTTTTAATTTGGATTATTTTACAATATTGACAATTAACCGTATTTACAATTCACCCAACTGACCGAAGGATAATTCTTGGAATGGACAACTCACATAATGTACAATTTAATGATTGACCGAAAGATAATTCACCGGATGGACAATTTATTGTATGTTAATTAACCCGAATGGACAATTCACCGATCGGACAATTCGCTAAAACTGTCAAATTTTACTTTTACGTCCTAAACCCCTACTGATATGAGATAATTTCTTAAATTTTTGGGTGGCTTTTTAATTAGATAGCCATTATGGGATGAAGTTACCTAAATCATATATTTATGTGGTAATTACCTGAAATGTTGTTTTCTCCAAAATCTGTCGGTGGATGTACTGCTTCTGGTCCAAAACCTTCGTGATAATCGTCAATAATTGGATTGAACAACTCGGCAAATTTATGATATGATTCTTGATCAGGTGCGTAAACACCAATACCAGAATCTGGATTAGCAACACCTAAATGATAAATAAAAAAGTTAAACGAATCTGCTATACGCTCCGATGAAATTAGGCAAAATTCAGCCTAGTTTATTTTTTAAAAATTTTGTTAAATATTTTAAACGATATCTAGCGGTAGGATCCTGGAAAATATTTTAGTTTTCGGATCCAATATAGGAGCCTAAAATTTCTGGATATCCGGTTTTTCGAATCCTCAAATTTAGTGTCAGCCAAAGATGTCAACGGTTACCCAAAAACCCGATGCACAAAACCCGGACTTTTTTAGACCCGAAACCCGACCCGAGAAAAATTCTAAAACCCGACCCGACTTTTTTCTCAACCAGGGATATCTCTCGTGTGTACCAGTCAACCAAGTTATTTCCTAGAATTAGTATGACAAATATCCCTTCCCCCTCCCTCAACCTTACCAAAACGAATAACATCAAATAAAGTTGCCCCAAGTTTTGTCTTTTTATATTTTAATTTTTCTTTTAAATTTTCAGTAAAATATTTTTTTAAAAGAGAATTAAAATTGTTATTTTCCTTAAGTTTTTTATATCCCTCTTCAATTAATTGTACAGTATTTTCGTCAGTCTCATTTGAAGAAGCCATTCGTTTCTTCAAATTTTTTGGGTAAAACAAATTGTTGAATGTTTCGTAGTTGTGCTTAGTGTCTGGAAAAAAGTTTTTTTACAATCGAATAATATTTAAAGAAAGTCGAAACTTAACAAATGAACCCATTTTGGGATCAAACCAGCAGGTCAAGACCATGGAGATCGAATGACTCAGAACCCATGAAGTCAAATTAACCAGATGATCAAATTTAAACCTCCGTTACTCGACCGCTAACTGAGTATTAGCCGATTTTAAAAAGCTATAATTTTTTGATGCTTGATCCAATACATATGAATCTTATATCATTCGAAATCTCTCGATAAGCTCTATCTTTTACGCAACGGTATGGATCAGGTCTGTTCACTCATAAAAAAGTTACAAGTCGATAAGCGCAAGAAATTGTTGTTTTTCTCAATTATCGGAGTATAACATTTTTATGAGTGGTCAGACCTGACCTATACAGTTTGGTAAAAGATAGAGCTTATCGAGAGCTTTCGAATGATATAAAATTCATTTGTACTGGATCAAACATCAAAAATTTATAGCTGTTTAAATTTTTATATGGCAAAGTTTTAGTTGATATTTTCTATAATTTTTCCCGTTATTCCAAGATTCAAGCAAGCAAAGCCCGAAACAAAAGAAAAGTCATGGAATCAAGTTTCAAGACCAAGAGTCTCGGACGCCTCTACTTGTATATATTTAAATAATAAAATATGTACAATTTTGAGGAATTCCAACAAAAAAATCATTTTCTCCAGCTAAGTTAACAACTTTTTAACATTGAAGAAAATTAAAAAATTAATAATAATTAACATTTCGTAAAAAATAATTTGAAAGATGTGTTGTTCACGACGATATTTAATTTATTAAATACTTAAATAAAAAACCCCATCGAGATTTTTAAAAAAACTCGGGCGGCCGCAGGCCGCTTCGGAGTAGCCTGGAAGTTGTGGAAGGGTCCTGCAACTTTTTACGGAGCATTCAGGAAAACTCCAACCTCGGTCCCACGATGAACTCTTGGCACCGAAACGGCCGCGGTTAAGTTGCTATCTCCTGAACCGTCTGTTGGATCGGAAAACTTCCGCTGTGAGGGCACTCCGTCACTAAATGAGGATAATGAATAAAAAAATTTTTCGAAATTCGGTAAAGTCTTAATACAGATATGCCGTCTTAACCCTTTTTAAATGGTGGCCAAATGTCGTGGTCACTGGGTAGCGATCTTTTGATGATTTGTTATATCTCGAGAGTGGCTGAACCGATTGAGATGGAACTTGGGGGGTTATAGGTAATCGACCAAGAGAAAATTAATGGGCATGGTTTTGAGGGGGACACTTGAGTCTTAAGGGGCACAATTGAGTCTTGAAATTTTCAAATGATTATATCGTGAAATTTTTGGGTGGAGAGCTTTTGAGTGTAGAAGTATTATTGAAGGGATGAGTGTTCCGAACATTTCACTTGGGGGACACTCGAGTCTGGGATGTTTTCTGATTGAGATATGAGTCTTGGCGCAAGACTCAAAATTTCAACTTTTTAATGCGTGAAACGTAGTTCGATTTGAGTGTAGCAGTTTATAGAGCGTCCTTTGAATGTATGAAAAATATATACTTTATTTGGGGTACACCTGAGCCCCTGGGAGATATAAGGCAAAAAGTGGCATTTTTGGTGCAAAAAGTGGTCGGTTTTTTGAGTATACCTTTTTTTAAAAAATTTTTAAAAATAAACGGACTTTAGATTCGTGTTCAGCACCTATTGGAGTACTATAAAACATATTTTTCTCGAGGTCGAATTTTTGGCCCATTTTTGAAGGGCCCCCTTTTGAAATTTTTTGGTGAAATTTAAATTGAGCATAACTTTGTTTATTTTTGTCGTAGCCAAATGAATTAAGGGTCATAAAATAGAGCAAAAAATTGCAAATTTTTTGAGCCATTTAAGTTTTGAAAAATTCCACCCGAGGCCTGGTAGGGTCGATTTTATGAAAATTCAAAATTTTTCGGTTTTTTGAAATTTTCTGGGGCATATCGAGTCTGAGTGTTGTTGCAAATATTTTTATAAAATAGAGCAGAATTTTTACTATATTTTAAGCTTTTAAAATGTTCCAAAATGGTTTATTTTTGGGGAGTTATGAATTTTTAAATATTTTGGTAAATTTTGAGTCTCAAAAATTGGGAAAAATTTTTGACGTGTCAAAAGTTTTTATTTTTTCCACAAAAAACGGTCTATGTGATGCTCTAGCATGCGCTAAGTACAAATCCGGCGTCAGAAAATTTTTAAAAATTTTCCCCGGACATTTAGAGTCTCAGAAATTTTTGCGACATTTGCGAACATTGGCCATAACTTTTTGAGATCATGTGGACCCCCACAATGTATACCTATTTCAGAGTCCCATAGGACGCTCTTTCAATTAGGGTATCAAAAATACCTGAAACGACCTTTTAAAAAAAGTCGACCTTTCGACCCCGACTCTTAAACCCATATGACCTCCAAAAGTTCATCCAAGACTCAACTGACCAACTACTGATATATTAACAACACTGAGTCCTACAATATCACTCCCAAGGCCTAAGACCTCCAGGCCACGGAAAAACTGCTATAACGCGTTGAATTTTTGGTTCGGCCTTTTCAGTGCCACATTGAGTGTGGCACCAAATTGGCCATGCGCATTAAACTCCCCGTGGCCGAAAACCTATTACCCCGCTTTTTTACTTTAATTAGGTTTCAACCAGCTTTAGAATAAACCGTGGGCGTTTTGTCCATCTGACCATTTTGTCCATAGGCATTTTTCGCCTTATTTTCCGATTTTTAAATTTTTAAAATTTTAGTTTTTTGGGGTTTTTTTTTAAAAACTTTGGGTTCCCTTTTTTATTTTTTTTTTATTTTTTTTATTGTTTAAGTGTCCTGCTCACACCCCAGTCCTTTTTTCCTGAAAATTTTCGAAAAAGGTCTTGAAAAATGCAAAAACTCGCTTTTTGCGTTTTTTTGAGATTTTTCCTGTTTTTTACGATTTTTTTTGGGTTTTCGAGATTTTAGTGGGGTTTAATTGTTTATAAATCATAATTTGGGACCCGTTGATTATAATTATGTTAAGTTTACCCAGCATTTTTGAGAAATTCTGAGGTTTATGAAATTTCAAAAATTCGTGTTTGGGGTGTGATCAGGGCATTTTTTAATTTATTTTAATTTATTATTTTTTTAAATTTTTTAGTTATAACTTTAGGTGGATTGCAGCCTCAACGACAACAATCAACAGGTTCGTTTCTTCCTTCTCCCTCGGCTAAGGGAGTTGCTCCCTACTAATCAGGGAATGTTCCCTGATTAGTTGTACTCTTTATTGAGGAGGGGTCATGCCGGATTTTTTCGCGAAATCCGGTATAAAACTTTCTTAGTTAAGAGGGCACTAATCAGGGGGCATTTTCTGATTAGGTTTCACTCTGGATAGAGGGGTCATGCCGGTTTTTTGATCGGAATGCCCCTCTTTTCAAAGTGAAATCTAATCAGAAAGTGCCCCCTTTAGGTTCCTCTTAATGAAGTAAGTTTTATACCCTATTTCGCGAAAAAAACGGGCACTACCCTAATCAACAAAGAGTATAACTAATCGGGGAACGTTCCCTAATTAGTAGGGAACAAATCCCTTAGCCGAGGGAGAAGGAAGAAACGAACCTGTTGATTGTTGTCGTTGCGGTTGCCATCCACCTAAAGTTATATCAGAAAAAGATAGAAAATTTTAATAAGTAAATTAAATTATCGTAAAGTTTGCTTTTTTAATTTAATGACGGTTTTATAAAGTTAACTTAAAATTTTTTCCTTTTTTAGATATAAAATTTAATATTCAATATTATTTTTAATTTTAAATGCCTTCCAAACAACGAAACAAAAGAAAATTGGGTAAAGAATATCGTCAACGGCTGATTGCTAATGATGGTAATTCTATGGATGTTGATTCTATGGATGGTTCTTTGGATGGTAATAATATTTTGTTTGTTGGTAATTTTATTGAAGAGGGCAGTAAAGGGGAAAATAGTTTAGTACTCGATAATTCTGATGTTTTGAATAATTCTATTGTTTCACGTAGTGTTTCCCCAGATAGTATTTCACCGATTTCTCGTGGGGGAAGACCGAAAAAAAGGAAAAATTGTGGGGGTAGACCTAAAAATGTTATTTTTAATGAATTTGTTTCTAATGATAATTTGAATATGAATTTTGAACCTGCTTTTTTGTCTGTTGATTTATTAGATATTCCTTTCGGACCTGTTTTACATAGTGATAATCGTATTTGTGACATGAATATTAATGTCGCAAGGGATTATATTAAGGAAATGTGGTCTGATTCAAATTCTTGGTTACAAGAGAATTATATTTATTCGTATCTTAAATACTTGACCACTCACACAAATAAACGTGTTGTTGTACTTGACCCAGCATATTCTTTTGTTGATTATCAATATGGGGACATAGATCCACTAATTCCTGTAGAAAATTGCTTTAATCATTCTGTCAATTATGACATTTTATTCATCCCAATTTGTTTTCCTGGTCATTTTGGTCTTGTAATTTATGATAGATTTGTTCGAAATAATCCTTTTTGTTTGTTTGTTGATTCTTTACCTGCGGTTGACAGGTTATTTAATGTTAGATATCCCGGATTTGACATTCGGCGTATTGATTTAATTAAGAGAGCTATAATTGACTTGACTCCTAATGTTAACGAGAATGAAATTCAAATTAACCCTATTCCTCGTGGGGATTTTGTTGAACAATTTGATGGGGTAAATTGTGGTTTTTTCGTTTGCCTTTATTCTGAATTATATTTGTTTAATAATAATTCATTACTTTTTCCCAATTTAAATATTCATCACGAGAGGAAACGAATTTTATGGAATCTTTCGCAGTTGATTCTTTCTAATGATATTAATTATGTTGGGCTTTTTGATAATTATCATAGAAACGCACCAGTAAATAATAATTTTTTTAGTTTTAATTTAGATTTTGGTAATAATGTGGAAGATAATTGTGTTATTAATGATTTGCCTGTTTTGAATTTAGAGCCAGATCCGCCATTAAGGAGGTCTGAAAGAATTAAAGCTTTAAAGAATAATGATATTTCTAACTTAAATATTAGTAATATTAACATTGCCTCTTTAAATAAAATTACTCCACGTTGTCATTTATCCCATAAATTATATCCTTGTGCAGATGTGCGTGCAAGGCACGTTGTTAGCTATTATGACTCCGGAAATATTGGAGACGCTGAATGTTGTTATTGCGGTGCAATGTTGTTTAATTCTGAGATTAATGACGCGCATTATAAGAAGTTTAAAAAGATTTCGTCTTCATATTGTTGTCGTTGTGGTGTAATTAAACTTCCTTCGTTTAAACCCCATCCTCAATTATTAAAAGACTTAACTAGAGGTGATACTAAGGATTCTTTAGATTTTTTAAAAAAACAAAATGTATACAATTCCCTCCTTGCTTTTGCGTCGGTTTATGTAGGCCACAGAGAAACTAAACTTTATGGTGGAGTTTGTTATCTATTAAATGGCGAATTTGTTAGAAAAATGAGTTCGATGGTAGCTGGAGAGTCGGGACCATCATTTTCCCAGTTGTATATATTAGATGCTAATACTGCTTTTCAACATCGAGTTTCTAATGTTGCTTATGGAGGGGATAGAGTTAATCCAGATGTATTAAAAAGTTTAGATACTCTTCTTAGAAATTGCCATCCTCTTGCAAATACTTATAAATCCTTTCATGAACAATATTTAGACAAGTTAGAAAGGGATGGCCCTGATTCTGTGCAAAATTTCAGACTCGTGCTTTTGGAGGAGCGAGAAGCGCCTGAACTTATAATAGACAATACTTTACATGTTAGACAAGTTAATCTTCCTACAGAGGAAACGTTGTTTTCATTACATACCGAGTCAGACGAACCTCCTATTTTAAAAGGGCTTTTTATTACTGGGGATCAAGGGAAGTTATTTATTTTTCCACCACATCATCCTCAAACAGATACATTATGTTACCCTCTTTTGTTTCCGTGTGGAGATGATAGTTATCATAATAAGATTCCATTTGCTAGAAAAGTGTTAACTGATGATAAAAGTGATGATGATTGTTCTGATTGTGAACCTGATCCTCTTTTAGAAAACAGTCGTAAAAATATTAGTATTCGAGATTATGTTAAATATAGATTAGCGATAAGAAAGCACGAGGATTATCATAATATTTGGAATTCTGGCGGAGGTTTAAGCCAAAAATATGCTTTAGATTACACAGCTAGAATAGATTCCGAAGTAGCTAATTATTTACGTAATGATGACATGGATTTGCGTGCTACTATTGGCCCAGATGCGCTTAGGTGGTTACAAAGGGATTCTGGTGCTAATTCTATTGCTGATTTAGGGCATATTGTAATGTTTAGGTCTTATCATCCTGGCACGAGACCGTATTTTCAGGACATGTTTTATGACGCCACTACTCTTATGGCTAGAGTTCGCAAACCTGAAAACGCCTCCTTTATGTTCACTTTCACGAGTAATCCACGTTGGCCCGAAACTAAAAGGAATTTATTTCATAAACACCAGAAAATTGTGGATAGATTCGATATTATTTCACGTGTTTATGAAGATAAGTTAAGACACTTGCATTATTTATTGAACAAAAAAAATATTTTTGGAAAAATTTTGGGGTATGGTGAGAGTAGAGAGTTTCAGAAAAGGATTGGAGGGCCTCATTTACATAGAGTTTTCTGTACCAATATTGTTGCAACTCCTGAAAATATTGAAAATTTAATTTATGCTCATATACCACCTGAACCACCTGCAGATGATAATTCTGGGTGGGCAAAATTTATGAGAAAAATTAGAGAACTATTACCGCTTTATCAGTTTCATGACTGCTCAGAGCATTGTAAGACAACTAATGGCAAATGTAAAAAGGGTTTTCCTAAACCTTTTAGCAATATCACAGTTTTGCATGAGAATACGCCGGCAGAATATTATCGGCCTTCCCCTGGGGATGGTGGCGAAGTTTTAAAAATAAAGCGCGGTGGAGCATTCATCACTTATGACAATTCTAAAGTTGTACCGTATAATCCACTTATTTTGGTTATGTTTCAATGCCACCATAACTTAGAATTCGCTTACGGTCAAACTGATAATTTAAAATACGCTTTAAAATATCCTTTCAAGGGTTCAAGTTTTTCCTATGTACGTAGTGAAGCTAGCGGTCTTATAAATGTAGATGAGCCATTGCATTATGCCAGAATGATTTATCGCAGTCCGACTGAAGCGTATACAAGAATTATGTCGTATAAATATGCTTTTTTATCACATATTGTAAAAGCATTAACTATTCATTTACCGGAAAATCAGAAACTTTATTTTACACGTAAAAATACAAGTAAATTGATTAGTGCTATTAATTCGGGTAATATACCTGATTCACCTCTTTCTGCCTATTGGAAGTTATGTGATAAGGACTCTGCTGTTAGAAATATACTTTTTGAAAACATGCCCGAAACGTACGCGTTTAATAAGAAAGATAAGGTTTGGAAGAAGTTGAATATTAATGAAAAAAATAAAAACCGCAAACCCCGTATCGGGAGAATTTTTTCTGTGTCACCAAGGGATCCGGAAAAATTTGCTTTATACATTTTAACTAAACATTTTCCTGGCACACCCGAAGATCTTTTAACTGTTAATGGTCATGCATGTTTAACTTTTGCTGAGGCTGCTAGATTAAGAGGATTGTTTGAAGATAATAATGTTTGGGAACGCACTTTAAGAGAGGGCTCTATTTCCTTAAATCCTTCCCAAATGAGACAGCTTTTTGCCAATATTCTTGCATTTGGGGCAACTGAAAAGTGTGTAATTGATGGCCTTTTACTATGGAATATGTTTATCGATCATTTTTATGATAGAAGGTGTTCAGAAGCAGAAAAATTAATTAGAATTGACAAATCATTGGCAATTATAGAAAGAATGTTACTAAGTCAAGGTCGTACTTTGCAGGAATTTAATCTTCCTTCTCCTAATCGTCCATTAATAAATGATCGAAACAGGGCTCTTGAAGATTTTTTCTTTCCACATCATGTTAACGATGATGAAATGGATGAAGCAATTGACACATCTATTTTTGATAACTCAAATCTAAATCCTGAACAGCAAAGATTTTTTAATTTAATTCGAGCTTCAGTTTTAGATCCGTTTACTAAAATTAAATTATTTTTCTTGTCTGGTGATGGCGGTACAGGCAAAACATTCCTTCTTAATTATGTTATTTATAAGTTACGTGAAATGAGACAAAAAGTATTGGCGACCGCTTCGACTGGAATAGCCGCCACTAATTATTACTCTGGTGGGATGACATTTCACTCTGCATTTAGATTTGGTAAGGATGTTGAGCCAGGAGTTATACCACCTGTAACAGCAGATAGTTACTTTGGACGTAGAATTATTGAGGCTAATGTAATACTTATTGATGAAGTGTCGATGCTAAATAGGACGGTTTTTGAAAATGTTAATATTTTGTGTAAAAAATTAATTCCGCATTTTAAAGATCAGCCTTTTGGGGGAAAGATAGTTATAATATCAGGTGATTGGAAGCAGTCCCTTCCTGTAGTTAATGACTCATCGTCACCTGAAGCACAGGTGGCAGCATCAATCCAATCCTCAGATTTATATGGAATATTTGAAAAACACAGATTGTTACAAAATATGCGTGTAATTCCTTCAGAAATTCAGTTTAAAGATTGGCTTTATAGTATTGGAACTGGTCAAACAGGTGATTCGGTTAGTATACCAGAAGGAATGAGGGTTAATTCGCGCCAAGACTTGTATGCTTTCGTATTTAACACTGGATTTGATGCACCGGTTCACGAATTATTAAAAAGGTTAATTCTTTCACCAACTAATAGAGTAGTTGATATGATTAATGAAGAAATTGTTGGTTTGATAGACTCGCCTGTTCAAGAATATTTATCAATAGATAATCCCACGAGTGAAAATCCCTTTGCGTATAATTTAGCTGAGTATGAAGTTGCGCAATTGAACAGGCTTACGCCAATAGGAATGCCTGCCCATAATATAAAACTTAAAGTTGGTGCAGTAGTTGTCTTGCTTCAAAATTTAAATACCCAGAAGGGTTTATGTAACGGTACCAGAATGATTATTAGGCGTTTACATCAAGATTTAATTGAAGCAGAAACGATAAGTGGTTCTTCTGATCGTGGTATTACTATTGGAATATGTCGTACAAGAAATAGTTATAAAGACATTCGACCTGATTGTGTTAGTTTCGAACGATTTCAGTTTCCCGTAAGGGTTGCTTTTTGCATGACTATTACTAAAGCCCAAGGGCAGACTTGTGAACGTTTAGGAATTGATATAAGCGATGAGCCTTTTGCTCATGGCCAGACTTATACCGCTTTTTCAAGGGCCAGAAGTGGAGAAAACATTAGAGTTTTTGCACCTGGTAAAACTGCGGATAATAATGGAAATATATCTATGAGAAATGTTGTGGCGAGAGGAATTTCTTTTGATTGAATGTTAAAATAAATAAATATAATTAGTAGATAGGTTGGAAAAAGTTTAGATTTTTTTCAAAAAATTTTTTGATAGAATTAAAAATTGATTTTGATTATTTACTTTTAGTTGTTGTGTCCTATTGCTGTTTTTTATCTTGAATGTAGTTTTTTTCACATGATTTCTTCTGGGACGGTCTTTGGGGTTTTATTTGGAAAGTGTAATATAAATATTTTATTTATATATGTGTTTTGATCTTTAATATTGTTGCAAGATTTCTTTAGTTGATTAAGTTTAATGTAAAGTAGAAGTTTTTGATGAGCTTTTTATTTGAGATGTTTTTGAATGGTGTGTTTTAGTATTATTTTTGGATGGTTTTTTGTTTTATCTATATATTATTTGTTGTGGAATGATTTTTTCGGTTTGTGTTTATTATTTTATTTGGGGTATATATTGTTTACTTTTGACCCGAAATGTTTGTATTTAAAATTTATTTAGTTGTGGCTGATATTTTAGTTTATTGAAATTTTTGTTTAGTTTATATGTTTTTTCTTTGAGATTTTTTGAAGTTTAATTGGTATTTTTAGTGGAGATTTAATTATATTATACAGAATAAGATTTGTATTGTTTTTCATTTATTAGGAGTTGATAGGATTTTTTAGAATATTTTGATAGAAATGGGTATATTTTTTGTCATATTGGTGTAATGTTGTTTGTATTTATATTATATTTTATGGGACGGTTTTTGGGATTGTATTATTAAATAAAGTATTTTTGGGTTGTATTATTTAAAAATTAGTATTTTTGGGGTTGTTTTTAAACAGAATTTTATTTATTTATTTTTATAGTTTGAGTTTTAATTTTATTTTTTTCACTTTTATGTCCAATAGGGGCATAATCGCACGGGAGGCTTTATGCCAACCGGTTGAGTATTTCATTGTTGTTTATTTATTTATTAGTTATTATTTATTTATTTGTTTATTATTCACTTTTATGTCCAATAGGGGCATAATCGCACGGGAGGCTTTATGCCAACCGGTTGAGCAATTTCTTTGTTATTTATTTTTTCACTTTTATGTCCATTAGGGGCATAATCGTACGGGAGGCTTTATGCCGAACGATTTAACTTTTTATTTGTTTTTTTTATTTACTTTTATGCCTAATAGAGGCATAATCGTACGGGAGGCTTTATGCCGAACGATTTAAAATTTTATTGTTTTTTAATTATTTATTTTTCACTTTTATGTCCAATAGGGGCATAATCGCACGGGAGGCTTTTGCCAACCGGTTGAGTATTTCATTGTTGTTTATTTGTTTTTAAGTATAATTTAATAGTATTTTATTATTTATTTTGGGGATTTTTATTATTTATTTATTTATTATTTCTTTTTGGGGTGGGGTCCCTCCCACGGGGTACAGGGTTTGCCCGTTTACCTCCGTGCACCTCCACGTGGTGTACCCTGGGCATTGTTGTATAATTATAAAATGTTATACAACAATGGCTAAGCACGGTAAAAACGGGATGGTTTAAATTATAAAAATTGTAACTGTTTCTAGCAGCGCGCGAAGCGCGCCCCAAAGCCGTTAGGCTTTTCAACGGGCACCCCAAAATTTTACAGCCATTGCATACATCAAAGATTTGCATACGCACTACGCCGCCATCGCATACGTAACCCATAGCTAGTTTATATAATAGAAAATATTTTTTAAAATTTACATCAGTCTTTGTAAATTTTAATTCGATGAATCTTTAAATTTGTAACCAGCTTATAAAATTTAAATTATGAAAAAAAATTTTTCCCAGACTCATATTTCAAAATAAAAACCCAATTTTAAAAAATTAGGTTGGCCAAATTAAATTTTGACTGAAATTTATAATTTGGCAAATAAATAAGTTTTAAATTTCTATATGCAATTAGAACCTTTAAAAATTAAGGAGATTGTCAAAATTTGATTGTATCAGTCAAGCAGTCATTCCTCCTTACAAAATTAAAGTTGAATGTAAATCAGAATGTATATATCAATCTTGGAGAATTTTGAATTTTAAAAAGCGGAAAGCGAAAGTTGAAAAGCAAAAAATGCAAATTATGCTGAAGTCTGGAGCGGATCCAGCCGTATATACTTAATTTAGGAAGTTATCGAGCAAACTGTATATTTTAATTACATCATTATTATTTAATTTATTACATCAGTATGATAAAGTTATTTATTTTAAAATTTGACATTAAAATAAATTTCATAAAAAATAATTTTTGTTTAGTGCACATTTTATAAAAAAGTATGTCTATGAGAAATGTAATAACACATACATACATATTAGAGTTTCACCGGAAGTTCCGGTTCCGGTTCCGGTTCCGGAAAGTTCCGGTGTTTTTCTGGTTCCGGTTCCGGTTCCGGGAACCGGAACTCAAATTGGTTCCGGTTCCGGTTCCGGCTCCGGTTTACAAATCGGTTCCGGCCAAACCGGAACTTTTTTACACCCCTAACGATTAGTTTTTTAAAAAAATATGGGTTGGCCTTGCAATATTTCACCGGTTGTCCTTTCAAAATTCCAAAATTTTCGCCTGCGGCACCAGAAAACGAAGAAATCTAGCTCCTTGTCCACATAAATTCTCAAAATTTTCGCCTGCGGCGCTGAAAAAGGAAGAAATATGTATCCTTGGTTCACTTAAAATCCCAAAATTTTTGTAAGTTGGCTGGTATATCGGGGGATTTGGATGGATGAAGATGGATTTTGAATTACATTATGTGAGTTCAAGAGGTCAAAGGTAATATAGAGGGATTTGGGTGTGATGTCGAGGGATTGAGCTGTGCAAGGAGATACCAGGGATTGGATAGCTGGGGATTTGGCCTTCCAAAACTTGGAATTTCTCACTTGGTCTTCCTAAATTCGCAAAATTTTCGCCTGCGGCGCTAAAAAAGAAGGAAAAATATGGTATTATTTAAAATTCGCATGAATTAATGGAGATTTGGAGTGACATTTGGGGATTTCGATGTATCAATATTTATAATGGCATATCGGTGATTGATATCTAGGGATCTGGTGGGATTAAGGATAATTCGAAGAAATTCGGGGATCAAAGGATATCATGAAGTTGGTGAGGTATTTGGCATAGCAGGGGATTTGGATTGTTCGGTTAGGTTTTTATGTTCGTTTTCGGTTAACTGAAAGTTTCGGTTAGGTTATTCGGCTCGGTTTCGATTAACCGAAGAATTTGGCTTAATTTAATCGAAAAATTTGGCGAAACCGACACCACTACTTGAAAAACAAATTTTTTAAAAATTTGCTAGCAAAATTTTTTAAAAGTTCCGGTTCCGGTTCCGGTTCCGGGCCGGAACTTAGAAAAGTTCCGGTTCCGGGAACCGGAACTTAAATTGGATCCGGTTCCGGTTCCGGTCAAAATTTCGGTTCCGGTGAAACACTAATACATATGTATTATTTCTTCTATAATAAAGTTTTTTTTTCTAATAATTATTCTTCTCAAAAAAGCAATACACTGTTAACTAATTATACATACCCTTATTTCTTGGGTTTTTCAAATTGAAATTGGGATGTGACTTTCTAGTTTTTTGTGTATTAATTCTACAAGCTAAAGCCGTATATTATCACAAAAATTTTAAATTTAAAAATTTTTTTCAGACGTAAGGTCATTTTTTCTAATAATTAAAGTTGACAAATTATACGCACCCCCTTCTAAAATTTTTATTTATCAATCAAAAAATTCACAAAAATTTATCAATTGAGGTATACATGGGGAGCTCAATCGTCAATTGAGGTATACCGCGAGAAAATAGGTGTACATAAAAAAATAGAATAGAAAACATACATAGAGAGAAGGAAAAATGCTTCGCAAATTACATTTTGACGGAGAAATTTCAAGATTTTACTGTCATTTTGTTAATATTTTGGGGGTAAATTAATTAAGCAAATCAAGGAAAAAATTTGCCTTGATTCTTGATTTTGATTGGGTACCTTGACCAGATTCTTAAGTCAAGGAAAAATCAAGGTCACTTTGAAAAATGCCTTGATCTGAACTTTGGATCCAGGAAAATCAAGATTGGATCCATATCCAGCTCGCTCTCTAATATTTTCTAATTTTTCTACTAATATCGAAGTTTCATAATAATTATTATTCATGATAAAATTATTAGTTAGGTGAATCTTAGATATTAAATTTGTGTATAATTTAAGGCTTAAATTTCGAATAATCAACTAAAAAATACCTGTTTTCCCAAGTTTTTCAAAAATTTCTTAACAATTTCATTATTGGCAATTTCAATCAAAATTCTCGTTTTTAATTGAGAGCTAAATTTAGAGCAGTCATTTAGTTTAACGTTAAAAACTTTTTCGACAGGTTCTATTTCAATTTTACAAAACGAATCATTATTTTTATTGAAATAATGTTCAATTTTATTTCCCCTTTTTAAATTCATTATCAATACAAAACGTTCCTTTATTTGAATATTTTTTAAATAAATAAATTCTCTTTTTTCGTCCCAATCTTCTTTTATTTTTAATCCAACCTCAAACATTCTACCTTTAATTTTGATATTCAACAGAACAACCAAATATGTGAGAAGAGTTATAATAAATTTATTCATTATAAATTTTAATATTAATTAAAATTAACGGTATATAAGAAAAAAATAAAAGATATATAATCATCAAACTTTTCCTTCTTTAAATAGCTTTTATATAATTAATTCTTTTATCTATTTATTTTGAAATATAGTCGGCATTTAAAAATAAATATTTGCACTTCTTATATTTCTTGAAAAATAAAATATTTCAAAAAATTAAAACTAATCATATTAAACGAATCGATTAACAAAAAGTGCAAATAACTTTTTTTATCCCGCCGTCTGACAAAATAAATGAAAATAACATTTCAAAATATTTAAAGACATGAGATCTAATCATATGAATTTTCCATTAAATATAAAGTGCAAATATTTATTTTTAAATGTTTTATTAATTTCAAAATAAAGGCAGTCGTTAAATCAAGCAATGTTTTTCATAAAAATTTGACGCCTAGATAAATTAAGTGTTCTATTTATCTTTTAAATAAAAATGTA